GGATCGAGCCCTCAACCCAGGCATGTGCCCTGACCATGATCTCCTGGATCATAGGTTGATGCTCAACTGCTGAGCCACGCCCAGCCAGGCGAAAGGAAAACTTTTGTTTCTATAGCAGCTCTATTTATAATTGCCCCAAACTGGTAACAGCCTAAATGTGTTCAACATCCATGTGACAGAATTCTGCTCAGCAAGACAAAAGAACAAACTATTGGATGATTCTCAAAGGCATTATGTGAAAAAGCAAAACTACTCTCCAAAGGTTGCATACTGTGTGATCCATGTAAGTGGCATCTTGAACAGACTAAATTACAGTGACAGAGAAAGATGAGTGGGTGCCAGGTGCTGGGTATGGAGGGAGGCAGGGCCGTAAGGAGTAGCACAAGGGAGTTATTTTGGGTAATGGATCTCATATGTTATGATCACACAAACCTATGCATGTGCTACAATGTATTTTCCTGGCCAAGAGAAGACTTTTTGTATAAAACTATAGTTTTAAAAATATGACTTTAAAATAGTTGTCCTCCATTCCACAAATATTTTGAGTGCCTACTATGCGTCAGATACCGGGCAAAAGATAGTATGTGGCGGGGCCAGTCAGAGCATCTGTGAGGGAGACACACCTGAACCGGGCGACGGTGTAAAGCAGAATGGGACCTGGGCTGCAGAAGAGGAGAAGGCCATCACTTTCATGTGGGGAAACCAGGAGTGGCTTGAAGGAGGGATAGGAGTCATTCATTCAACAAACATTTATTGTGTCGAGCTCTGTCCTGGGCCCTGGGGATACTGCAGGGAACATGAAGGGCCAGGTCCCTGCTCTCATGGAGCTCACACTCTGGTGGGTAGATGTGGGCCATAAACATGCCAGCAAATAAGAACCCCAGGAACTGAGGAGCACTTAAGGGAGGTGTCGGGTACCATGGCCATGGGGGAGAAGTCTTCAGAGTGGGTGACTGGGGAAGACCTCTCAGGGAGGTGACATTGAAACACTGGGTAGATTGGAGTCCTGGATGATGCAGCCCAGGGAAGAGCTGGGAGTTCCTGGGGGAGGAAGGCTTGGCTAGAAGGAACTGTAAATGCACGGGTTCAGAGCTGGAAAGGATCCTGAAGTGTGTGAGGGACTGAAGAAGGCCAGTGAGCCTCGGAGACAGGGGGAGTGGAGGGAGACAGGGTGCAAAGTAAGGTGACAGGGTGCTCTTACGGCAGCCCTTATCCTGATGCAGGGAAGGAAGGCGGGCCAGAACTAAGCTTCCTGAAGCCCCTCCAGCTGGGCTTTCCTGGGTTCCTGCAAGGCCTCAGAGAGGACAGTCCAGGCCCCGGTCCTTGCCCCTCCCACGCCATGGTTGTTTGATGGGTTGACAGGTGATGGTGTCATATTCTGTTAGGGCCTCAGCAGCTGTGACCCAGAATGAAACATGACACTGCCCACTTGCCCGCTCACACCATCCCACCCCACAATCGGGGGCCCTGGGACATGCAGGGCAGCCTAGGGCCCCCCAGAAGTTGTGTGGTTCTGGAAGAGCGGAGGCAGGAAGAGTCCCACGGTGCCCAGCACGCACACGACCACAAACACCCACAGGAACAGTCGGTCGACCACCATGGCCACGTACTTCCAGTCCTCCACGACCTGTGGGCAGACAGAGGCGGGTCATGAGGGCAAGTGTTGGGGTCCTCCCTGCTCTCCCCTGATCCCCAACTTGGGTCCGCACTATCTTGAGGGACCCCATGCTACTCAGAACTTGGAGTGGCATGTTCTGAGTGTGAGGCTGGTCCCCCAGCTGGGCACATCTGTGTCTCTCAGGTCACTGGTGAACCCCTACCTGCCCCTGTGGCATTGCAGTCACTGGGAACTCAGGCTGTGCAGGTTAGGAATGTGACTGAAAACTAACCCTGAGTTTGAATAAGGGGACGAGGCCTGAGGATCCCAGGCCTTTCTCTTATTATCACTCTAAGCCTTCTGAGCTGGCTCCACCCACAGTTAGATTTGGGACCCCCTTGCTGAGTGGGGGTGGGCACTGGGGATTGCAGGACACCTGGAAATAGTGCTGTTTAGTTTGCTCAATTCTGGTAACAGCAGTACCTGTTAGTTCCTGTAATTAAGACTCAGCCTCCTCTACTGCATCATCTGAGTGTCTCTCTCTCAGAGCTGGGTGTGGGGTTGGCAGGCACTTGGCTGGCCTCCAGAAATGTGCCTGTCTCCTTTGCTGGGGGAGACACCCCCAGAAAGACCCGGCATCCTGGCCTTCCTCCCCCATGCCTGTGTTCACACCCTGGCCCATCTGAGTCCCTCTGCCTCCTTTCCCTGGTGGAGCGTGGCCAGACCAGAGCTCAGCAGAGGCTCCGGAGCTGGAAGTTCAGATAGCAGTGGGCTTGCTGACATCAGTGACCCAGTTTGTCAGGGCCCCATCATCGGTGTGTGTCTACCCTGGATAATCCTGTGTTATCCAGCCCCAAATACCCAGTCCCCGAGACCAGCAGGCACCACATAGCTGTCTGCGTGGCTCTTCATGAGAGCTCTCCTCAGCATTCTGGGGTCTCTTTTTGACAGCCCTAATTTCAGATGACTTTTTTTGTGGTCTGCGTGTGCCTTTTTGTTTTGTATATATTTTGTTCT